GTAGCGGGGCCCGGTGGTTTACTCAAGTACAAAGATCTGGAGATAGATAGTCGACTTCTTACCTTCTTACTCACAGTACACCGATCTGGTACCTTGTACTTTTACTCAAGTACAAGATCTGAGTACTTCTACTTTACTCAAGTACAAGATCTGGAGTACTTCTACTTTTTACTCAAGTACGCAGATCTGGTATTCTACTTTTACTAAATACACGATCTGAGTACTTCTAGCTTTCTACTCAAGTACAAGATCTGGGAGTACTTTCTACTTGCTTACTCAAGTACAAGATTGAAAGATTGAACAATAAAAGTTGACTGACGACTTTGAACTTTAAACCGCAACTGCTCCCTTAGATGAAACCTTTGTATAACTCACCCTTAAGTACAAATGACTTTTAAAAGCTTGGGCAATTTACACTTATTGTTAGGAACATAATCAATAATATATTAAGAGTCACTTCAGCAGTTCAACACCTTTGTTAAGATGTACGAGCTTCAATTAAGACACTTGAACTCGTCTTTCATAAGTGTGATCCTTGAGTTCTTGGGGCAGGACACCATGCTGAAATATTCCTTATAGCAATGCATTTAAACTTGACATTTCACTTTATTATGTGAGTGGAAAAATTATGAAATCTGAAGACTTCACTTCTATAGTTAAAGACTAGAGCTTTCAATGAGACCCCTGAGCTTGCTTGTCTTCTTAAGCTCGTGATAGTTCTGGTCAAGGCACCAGAAATATCCAAAAAGTATGCAATCCCTACATCTTTCTAGGACCCTCCTGAAAGTCCCCTCAATACCCCGCTAGGGGTCCCTGTACCCCCTGTTGGAACCACTGTTGTAAAGTAGTTGTTCACAATAATCCTAGGCGAGGCTGGTTTCTGTTGCCCCAAACTGTGGAACCCCCTTTGGATCTTAGAACGAGCAAACTCCATTTAATTCGAAAGTAAATTAAAAAAACCAATGTTTTATACCAGTTTGGGGTATTTTTAGAGGTATCACTGTTCATAGTTTATTCGTATCCTGAGAGCAGTATTGCATAATCCGACCTGTGGCCTTATAAAAAACAGCTTTATGTGCGGCCCAACCCCCCTGCTCCTCCGATCTT